TTGTCGCAAAAAAGCATATTCACAGTGTCAACGTTATACGAATACCGAAGAACACTCTCTCACTACAACGAGCTCTACATACTTCAAATCGTCCGACCAAACACCAAGCTCAGCAAGTTTCCCATGCCTCCTCGGCTTTTCATCCCTCGACTTGCGCACCGCGAGACACATGGTCAAGCGTTTGGGGAGTCCCAGAGTCAAGCAAGAGTACTTTGGTCGTCTAAGCTGGCAGCCATCATATTCAACACAGAGACACGAACTGAGACGAACTTGCTCAAAACGATGCATATTTGCCACGCCCAGACACAACATTGAAAGACCTGTAGCTCTCCTCGGGTACGGTGCCTTTGGCACGGTTTGGTGAACTCTTCAATCATTATGGTCATTAATCACTACATGGCCTCGTTATTCACGGCCTCGTTGCTTTTCTGTGGGCGCCTGTTGCGCCTCTCTCCAGCCTCCGATACTTCTTCTCGCCTTATTCTGCCCTGTTGCGTCCATTTCTCTCCAATGCCCCTCGCCAACGAGTTCGTATCTTTCGCCTCCATTGGCTAGTTCTTGTGGTGCGGTCGTACCCACCGCATCTGCCTCGAGTATCTCGGTTCCGTGTTTCTCAGTCGGCGTCTCGAGACCCCACGCTAAGTTTCCGAATTCCGTATATGGGCCCACTCCGCCGTCGCCGTACGGTCCCATTTGAGCAACAGCTTCGGCTTCCTTCAGACGAGCAGCCTCAGCCGCCTCCGCTGCTCGTTGTCGCCTCCTTCGTACCAGGAGGAGAATGACTCCTCCGGCAAGCGCAACAACTCCGAAGGAAACGCCGATTCCTATGCCGGCCTTAGCTCCGGATGACAGAACAACTGGTTTCGCCGTGGCTGTCGATGAAGCTGAAGGCGTTGCTGTTCCCTGAGGTTCTTCTTCAACCGCCTTTGTTGCGTTGAAACTGGGGACCACCGCGGCTTGTTTCCAAAGGCCATCTTCACCATGGTATAATTGAACCAGGCTTCCGTTTGATTGGTACCAAATCCACGCTTCGCTGGTGTCAAAGTTGCTTGTTGTCGCGAAGGAGCCACTCTCAACATCCGCAGCGGGCCAGAGACGCGCATCCTGGTCAGGCATGAGCTTCCACTGCCAATCAATATTGGACATCTGGTGCAGCTTTGCATCTGTTCCCAAGTAGAAGATGCTGCGGACATATGCTTTGTCCACCGTTGCGCCTAGCGAAGTCAGGTTGTTTGCGAAAGCCGGCATGGTGAAGTTCGGAGTAAGCGTCGAATCGAGGAGGATATCGGCTGCTTTCGTCGTCTCATTTGCGTCCCCTCGGAGCGGGCGAGGCAGGGTAGCTTTGTGACAGTCAGCAAGTGAATAACTCGCAACAACAGTGGAGGGAACGGACCAAGATGCCATGTCTCATCCTTGAAAAACCTCGAGATTTCGACATTCTCCGAGTCTTTGGGAAAGACAACAGACATGTTGAGCTGCCCCGAGTGTACCGACGTCAAGGCCATACCTCCTACGGGGTCTTGCGAAATTGCCCCCTTCAACTGCCAATCGGTCCTGGTCGTGTACGATAAAACATTGACCGTCTTTGCTTCATCGTGAAAGAAAACACGATATCCATCATCCGCGCCCAATAACTCGACGGCTAGGCCGGTCTGGTTGTGTATGGACTCGAGTCCGGCCGTTGCGGAGATAACGTATTCGCCCTTGATGGCGTAATGGCCCGTATCGAAGTTGCAGGTGAAGTAGCCGTTTACGATGGAGTTGTCCTCGGCCTGGTAGAAAATCGAGGCCTAGAAGGAGAGGTCAGTTGCAACGCTTCACAACGTGAAGCCAGAAGAGACTTACGATCGTCGTCTTCTTCGGCACATCGTACCATCCAGCAGCGGCAATCGAGGTGCCAAGTCTCGGCTTTCTCTGGAGAAGAAAGATGTTGAGCCCATCTGTTGGCAAGATGGGCGTGGAGTTGCTGTTGCAAGCGGTGTACAGAATATCGCCTGTCGCAGGGTCTTGCATCGCCAGATGGGGACTCAGTTCTGTCCACCATGCCGTGAGACACGATACTGGGGAGGACAGAACGAACAGCACCCCCAAGAGAATTCCAAAGGATCTCGCCATTATTGTGAGGAATGCCGCATGGAAGTCGGTGATTACAGACGGTTACGTCGAACACACCGCCAAGGCTATTGCTGGGAAAGGTCTGGGTTCCTACTAAACGCGATTCAACTTCGCACGAGGAGACTCGGTAATCTCGATAGACCGGGACCTAATAGTCGTGGGGAATTGTCGACGCAGGCGGAAAAGCGAGACGGGAAGGTGCAAGTCGCCGTTCGGACTCGGGGATCGCTGGGTTTATCACCATCCACCCCATGTAGTTTCCCGGCGGGGATGTATTGAACCGGGCTTCCGTGATGGTCAGTTGCATCTCAATCCCAAGTCGGGAAGCTCAACCGCAGCATCCTTACTTGCAGTAGCGCGACCCCCAGAGAGCGTGAGAGCCTACAAGGCCAAGGGTCCCCCTTCGTTCTGCCTCCACGGATGGCTTGAAAGCTCGTTGGCTCAGAGACATTTTCAGCCCGTTTGTTGATCTACCCATGTCGCTGACACAGCCATCGGTCTGGGAAGTCGCGTGGGGCTTTTCGGGGGCGGAGACCGGCCATTGGGCAGGCAGGCAACGCTTATGAAGAAGACATTGACAAATAAGGCCTATGCCGCGATCAAGGGTCTTGAGCAAAGATACCAGCCAAGCCTAATGTGTGATGGTGTCCGCATGGGTTTGGCTTTTAAGACTTCGGTTGTGGCGTTGTCGGTAGGGCTTGGTGTGCTTGCAGTTTGCTTAATCCAGAGCCAACTAGATGTCAACGCTCGTATACAGCTCATCACGACAACGGCAATTGATGAGATAACCAGAGGGGGGGGTCATATGCGGCTGCCTAGCCCTGACGACTATCCCGTCAGCACAAACACCCAACAGGCCTTCTCGTTCATCGATTCGTCCCCTGGAAATAGCACTTGCTAAAAAGGCTTGAGGAAAGGTAACGAAGATAACCCTACAACTCTCCCGAACAGACACAGCACAACAGGCCCAACCTCCCCGAGGGCCATGAGCGTTGAGCCAGGGACCGTCAACATGGAATAGTGCCCAGGTTTGGGGGCTAGAAAGGCCTTTTTTCCAATGGTCTCTCGCTTCGCTTTACCTCCTTGGAACGAGCTTAAAGCCTGCGCTGCAACCCCAATCCGCAAATCTCTACTTTGAGTCTAGGGGGAAACCACATAAAAACGGGGCCAAAAACTACATCTCGCAGGCGCCAGGCGGTGCTTACTGAGCGCCCGCCCCCCACCAACTCCTTCTGGCCATGCGAACGACCGGGTTCGCCCTAAACCTTGTGGCGTCTACGGATATCGTCAATTCTGATGCAGTCAGTCGTGCGATATGGTATCTCTTCGGACTCTTGAGGGAACTTTGGTTTCTGGGTTCGTGGCGAGACTGGAAGTTCAAGACGGGGAAAAGCGATTATGCTGAGTCTCTTCCCGAGTTGCCCATACGAAAGGCACAGACAAACTTTTGGCCACATGCCTCCTCACGCCTAGTAATCAACGGCCCCCAAAACCGAATCCTTTCAGCCGCGGAGTAGCTTGAATTGTTCACCGGCGAGAGGCGAAGTAGAGACAATCTTTGCTTTTTTGGCTCTCTCGGCTTCTCATTCTATTCTGACTGTGACAACCGGAAAACCCCCCTCTGACACACTTTTGCATTCCATGGTCAGAGACGAACTACTTCTCAGCAGCAGCGGCTGATCGCTGCTCGTTGAGTAAGAAGCACATCAACACCAACTCGCCGCACCACAAACCCCCTCTCCCTCCCCCCTTGTCACGCTTCTTCTGACATCAGCCCAGCGCAGCATTCAACTAACTTACCCAGGTAAGCTTATCTATTATGCCATCCGGATTTCAGCCCTTTTCCAAACGGGAAGGATCCCTCCCCGTCCGTTCCCCCAAGGTACTAGAGATGCGTGTGTGAGGGAGGTCCAACTGGTCCATCGGAGTCTCGGGTCATTGACTCTACAGGATGGCTGCTATGTGGCCAATGTCAAACTTGTAAGTTTGTGACGGCACGGATATCATTCGTGTCCTCCGGCTCCAGGGGGGGGGGCAATGTCTCTTCGCGATGACGATGTAGACTGTATTCAGATAAGAACGTAAGCAGATGAATAGGCTATCAGGACCCAGGATCGCTCACGAGCCATCCTCGACCAATGTAGAGGTGGTCTGGACTAGAAGCCTAACTGCACTGCATCTTTCTAGCGGAAAAAGACGACGGCACGGATACATCACACAGTTCCTCCATAAGGAAATCGCTCGCAGGGATCAACGTTCGGCCTAGAAGTTCGCCATTACAAAGTTCCCAGGATCCGGGGTCCGAAAGTTGGGGGGGGACATGGGACGAGAAAAGCGCGGACGAGCTCGTGGTTCGTCCGAGCCAGGTCATACTTTGTTCGCCGTCCATATCCCGTCCTGTCTATAGAATATCTTGTACGATGTATACCCACACGCACACACCAATCTTCGGACTGATTCTTCGCGACTCGGACTTGGGACGGCGACCGTTGAGGCTAGCCAGTCTCTGGACGGCTGCGAGATTATAGACCACAGTTCCCAGGGTCGGAGATGTTGCCCCGAACAGGGTTGAATGGTCGACTCTCTCGGCAGGGTTACAAGGGCAGAAAGATTCCCTGGTCCTTGGAAAGGCTTGGAAGGGGAAAAGGTCGAGAACCGCTCCAGTCAGTCTCATAGTCACGCAGTGCAGAGAGAAAGCGATGTCGTCTAGTCTAATAGAAAATGCATTTCATCAAGTTTCCCTAGGTAATCAAAGCCAAACCCCGACGCGCCACATCTCGCCAACTTGAACCAAGTAGCACCCTTTCCTTTCCCATTGTATTTAATTTTTCTCCTTGTATTAAAGTAGCGCCTGTTCGCTTGCACCTTGCCTCTTGCGGCGGTTCTTAGTCGTCGAGGCCTCTCTTGACATCCTTTGCCTTGAGACCGGTAATCGGCTTCTCCGGCGTGTGGTGAAGAGGTCTGCCGGACAGCATGTTGACCACATCGCCCATGTGCGCCCAATGGACGTTCTTGGGCCGGCGGTTCTTCCAGTCCGTCTCGTGGTCCTCGAGATCCCAAATGGGCGTGAATGTGACGCTGGCACCCTTGATACCAATGACGGAGGCGCTCATGGGATCCCTCTTACACCTGTTGTGCGACTTGGGCTGGAACTCCTCGAGGTGCTGCATGCACTTGATTGCCAGTCTGACGGCACGGCATCTGTCCATGGGCGAGGGAACGCCACCCTGCTGGACGTGACCGGGGATGCTGTCACGAGATTCGAATCGGCCGCGCGCCTCCTTGCGGATGATGTCTGCGATGAGCTTGGCGTTGAACACATCGTCAGCCTTCTCATTGATGAGGATCAAGCGTCCAGATGAAGACTGGCCCTTATCCTTGGAGAAGATCTCGCGGAGATGGCGAACGTCTGCGGCCAACATTTCGAGGTCCATACCCTCCTCTGGTGTGTAAACAGCGCTCGCGCCAACACTGAGGCCAGCAAGGGTCGCGATATATCCAGACTTACCACCTTGCGTCTCGACAACAAATACACGACGACGCGTGGCGGAAGCGGACTGCTTGATCTTGTCGCAGTACTGTACAAGCTCGTTCAGGCAAGTGTCAGAGCCGAGTGAGTATTCTGACCCAGGAACGTTGTTGGAGATCGTAGCTGGCAAGAGGACCATGGGAATGCACAGAGAGGGGTAAAGCTCTCTGGCCTTGCGCAGTTGCGAAACAGCGTGGTAAGCCTCGAAGCCACCGACGAGGAAAAGTCCGTCAAACTCGTACTTTTCAATCAGGTTGGCGATGAGCTCCATGCCTGACTCCGCAGGAAGTTCTCGGTTGGTACCGATTTCCGATCCTCCCTTGCTGGCCCAGCTGTCAACCTCCAGCCAGTCGAAAGGTCGCACGGCTCCGACGGGCTTATCGCCATGATGCCTAGCGAATCCGGCAAAGCCATTGTGGATGGCGACGGGTTCATGGCCGCGCGAAAGACAGTAAGCAACACCAGCGCGCACAGCAGCGTTCATACCACCAGCAGGGGCGCCAACGTTGATGAAGCCAATCTTCATTCTCTGCGAGATTGTCAGTTTTCCGTTCTCTCTTGTAACTGAAGCTGAGTTGACATACCTCCTTCTCCGGCAGATGGTGGTCATCCACTCTGACGTTTGTGGTCATCATGTAAGAGCTGAACATCTCGGCGAACTCAGTGTCACGGAGACCCATTGCCTTTTCAAATTGCTTCTCGTCAACTGCCTTTGCGACCTCTTTGGTATCCTTGACAGCCTGCATCAATGGCTTGCGGCAGATCTGGTTTTCGTTGATGGCAATAAAGCAGGTCTCGGTCTCGGGGGTAGCCTCCAGAACAGCCTTGACGGCCTCCACACCCTGGAGGGTAGCCAGCATTCTGTCGTAGGCAACGGCGGTACCGCCACGCTGGACGTGACCGAGTGTTGTGATTCGAGTGTCCAGAGCGAGTCCGTTCTTGTCTGCGAGCAGGTCCTTGACCATATCGGATGTGATCTTCTTGCCATTGCTGTCGTTGGCGCCCTCGGCAATGATGACAATGGTCTTGCGCTTTCCAAAGCTTCGGTGCTATAGCCTGTCAGCGTCGTCCTGGCTACTACTGGTGCTAGGTTTTCCGGTCTTACCCTCTTCACAATATCACACATTTCCTCCTCCCAGTTCTCCTCCCTAGGCTTCTCAGGAATGAAGATAAAGTCGGCGCCTGTCGCAACACCGGCCATGAGAGCCAGCCAGCCACAGTGGCGACCCATGACCTCGATAACGAAGGCTCTTGAGTGGGACGAGGCCGTGGCTTCAATGTAATCGACCATTTCGCAAATGCGCTCGAGGGCAGAGTAACATCCAATGGTGGCATCGGTGCCCGACATGTCATTGTCAATGGATCCAACCAAACCGACAATGTTGAGGTGTCTGTAAGGGTCAACCTGCTCCTTCTTGAGCTGGCCGGAGGAAACAAGCTCCTCGATCAGAGAAGGCCATTCGGCGCGGAACTTGTCAGCACCAGTGAGGGAACCGTCACCACCGCAAATGATCAGGGCATCAATTCCGTTGAGAATCATGTTCTTGGCAGCAGTCAAACGGCCGGGTCGTTCGTAAAAGGCCATGCAGCGGCGGGTTCCAATCAGAGTACCGCCTTGGCCAAGGTAGTTGCGCACATCACCCCATTCTGCCTTTTTGATCTGGTCCCCGCCTACTACCAAGCCTTCGTATCCGTCGTAGATGCAGTAGGGTTCGCATCCCATGTGGAGGGCGGTTCGGACTACGGCGCGGACTACGCCGTTCATGCCTGGGGAGTCACCTCCCGAGGTCATGATGGCAATCTTCTTCTTGGCAGCCGTGGGAGCCATGATTGCGGCGGAGAATAGTGGTGGTGGTGATGTTCGTAGGTTGTCGGAACTTCGGGGTCAATGGGGGGAGGGAGGCGGAGGAGGGCGGAGGACCGATTACAGGGTCTAAAGGTCCGTCGGTCGAGGTCTGACGTGGAGGGGGATACTCTACGGAGCTGGAGGTAAGATGTTCAAGGGATGATGGTACGAGCCAACCGGGCCGTGTACGGTATCAGGGAGGGAGAGGGAGTAGGAATGCGAGGTAAAGAAGATGGGGAGGGAGGAAGAGTGAGGGAGGAAAAGATCATGAGGTTTCCAGGCGAGACGAGGCAGGCGCCAAGTGCTTGGAAGAAGCTGTGTGGTGGTTGGAGCTTGGACGTGGAACAGGAATAGGTCGAGGGGGGGAAGCTGCGAGACACACTTGACCGGGCTTGGGGACGGAGGGGGACGCCGCAAAAAATAGGCCGTCTGGTGTGCCAGATAATTATAGCGTGGGACACCTCACGCTTCGCACTTCGCGGGCAGAAGAGACCAGACAGGTTTAATGGCGGGGGACCAAGTTGTCGGAGCCACTTTGGAGCATCCGCACCTCGAAAAAATAGCAGAAAAATTACACGCGGAAAGGGAGGGGGTAGGTCAAGTTACCTCACTGGACCTCAGCTCACCACATCTTTCCTTCTGTCCCTCGTCCATGATCCGACCCCTCCATCCTCCCCCAACAGTGAGCCCGCGCAGTGACGTTGAGTGCCCTCAAAGGTAGCCCGCCCAGCTCTTATCGGCTCCTTATCTTGGCGCGGGGGAGCTTCGGCCATGGAAGCCCACCTCACAGAAATATAGGTACCTTCGACAGACCAAAAGCCGCAGAGGCCGCACAGCATCGTCACAGGTGCAGGGCACGCCGCACGCACCGGTGTCACAGCGAGCCTATGGGAAACCTTTCACGTTGCTGAATCAGGAACGATGCAACGGTCTTACTGGCCAGCCCGGTTACAGTGGACCCAGGTCCTTGACGGGACATTTTTCTTCAGCTGAGCCTGCTGAGGGAGTCGTCGATCCGCGATGTGTTGCAGAAGCTTCTCCAACCGCAACCGTCTGCATTTGGTGCTGGCCAATGTCTTGGAACTTGGAATGGTTGGTTTAATCGCTCATTTGCTGCGACAATAGCAGTGTGTCAAGCTATTTCGCGCCACACCCATTGGTGAGTGAGGGAAATACCAGGAATATTGCGAGTCGACTGACTGGTGACTGGTCTCCGTCGTGTTGTTTTTTCTCGCTCTTACTCCGGTCGCCGGTGAGGGGTTTAAACCACCAAGCAAGGTTCAGTCGGCCTCTTCCAGCGTCCCATCTCGGGCTTATTCTGGGCTCCTTGCACAAGTCGCACCAAAATCCACCCCAGTTGCCAGGTCCAGACTTGCACCAAGTTACCAACCCTCCAGAAATGCCCCTCCATTGAAGCTCCAGTGCGGGGCTGGCCGGCGGTCGGTGCAAGGACTCGACGAGAATGTCAGGCAATTCACCAGGTGGATGCTGGTTTGTCTGCGCGCCTTGAGCTGCTTTGGTGAGGGAGGCTCCGCGCGCCTCTCTCTTGACATCTGCTAATTCGATCAGAAATAAAAGAGAGAATCATACCAGTGTACTATTGCATGCCAGTTTCCAGACATAGCCGGCCCATTTCCCATGTGTCCGCTTACTCATAAAGGCACTTTATGCTGGCTTAGCTAGGCTACGCGCCCAAGTTTCAAGCTCTATCTGAACTACACAAATCACTATCGTCACTCGGTCCATACGCCAGTGACTCGCTCACGGTGGAGGGCCGGTCTCTCGCAGGGATGCAAGGATGTTCCTCCGAAGTCCCGGCGACGGCGACGATGGTGAATCTTCCAGATCAACATATCAACTCACAAGTCGTCCGACACATCTACTTATTCAAAGTGGTGCAACAGACATCACGATATAATCAAGACGAAATCGAGACATCTCGGCCTCACTTTGCAGCAGTTCCGCCGAACCCTTATTCCCACGGCGACAAACGTCACCGTTGAAAACTGTGGTGAGATGACAAGGACTTTGGGCTCTGGACAACCGAGAATCAGGCAAGATCACGTCCACCTCATTTCCGTATCTTCCATCCATGGATGATGCGAACTGGATGTCATCATTGGCTTCCAGTTATGAGTGGTGTGGAGTTGCCGATTTTGATATCGCCCGCATTGAGTTAAGTCTCATCGTCGTGCTTGTCGACTCAGAATTATCAAGCATCAGACTGAGTCGACATCAATCGCAGGCACTTACAAGCCATACTAGAGTCCAAGATGCAGCGTTCCGTTCTGACAGGGACTTCTGAATAAACTTTCCAGATCAGTTCGAACACCCCGAGACAACCGAACCATGGTTGCGTAGAATCGTCGATGCGACGTGCTTCCGATCTTCCCGTCATTGGTGTGTCTTCAAGTCTTATGCCTACAGATTCGATGCCGTCTGCCATGAGACCCCGAGGTCCCGTTATCCGATCGATCCTCTCAAAGACTATGTGATGGCAATGAGGATTGTCATGACTGCTTGCAAGCACAGGCTATGACATCGGGCACTGTTTGGATCTTGACGCATCCCCACAAACAAGACCGGTAGCTACCTTAGAAGAAAATGAGTTTGTTTTCATGATACGAAATGGAGAGTTGCGGCCTACACGGGTTGTTGCAAGTGATCTCAAATCGGTGACCCTCGGTGAGATAGTGACTTCACCGAAAATGCACACCTTTTGGTTGCTCGGTGGAGCTAGGACCGGCTCGGTGGCTCCAGCCAATCCATAGCTCCTGCTCTCATTCAACCACCAGCCTTGCACTGCAGCCTCACCACCGTTCGCGACGCAGACTTCCTTCCACACCATGCAGCCGTCCTGCGCATTATAGCTTTCCGACCTCCAAACTTTCCATCCCCCATACGAACCCTCGAAGATCAACGCGCGACCCCGCGACCGACGAATTGCCCGCCATGGCGTCGGGCAGCTCAATGCCCTTCTCTTCGCTCCACCCCGTACCTACGGGCGATCGCAAACCAAAGAGCCTCGGCGAGTTCATTGCCCGCGTACAAGCGGAGCGCGGCTTTCGAAATGTAACCGAGAAGAGTCTGAAAGAGGAGGTCGAGAACAAGAAAAATGATGTCGGCGAGGTGAAGGAGGAAGACACGGCAATGGCCGATGGAGATGACGAGGACGAGGAACCACTAGATGCGGGCGCCGCGCGGATGGAAGTGCTGAGAAACATAGAGTTGGTTACCCCATATGAACATGTTTTCCTCCGAAATGATGGCTGACTGTGAGCCGCCAGTACCGCGCAAAACGCCGCCCTAATGACCCTCGACTTCATCTCATTACTCCTCTCGAAAGAAAGCCCTGCCCAGGCAGGTGTCACACTCTCCCAGCAATTGCGCGACTGGACCGGCATTGGTACCCTGGGTATCGCTAAGCGCGAAGACAACGAAGAACAGAAGCAAAGGGACGCTGAGAAGGCAAAAGACAACCGCGATGTGTCTCTGGGTTGGGCTTTGCTCGACATCGAGAAGACAAAGGAGTCGGCCGACAAGGCAGCAACCCATTTGAGCAAGGAAGTGGAGCGTGAAGCAAAGTACTGGGGTGAGGTTTTGTCGGTACAACAGGCCGGATGGTCCATGTGCAGGCTGCCCGCAGAGCGACATACCCTCGGCGTCAGATTCGGTTTCTCAGAAGGCAGGTGCCCGTTTCCTCTTCTCGAGTGTCAGACAGGGCTAACCAAGCACAGCATCACCTGAGTTCAGGAATAGCAGTCTCGCGCCATTGCGGCGTGGAGATGACGGCTCAGCGCTCCTCCAGCACGGCCGCGTCGGATCTGGCTGCCAACGCCTCGCCATCACCGTCAGCAGATCAGGCGAGCCAAGCGGCCGTCTCGCTGTTGGGACCTCCGTACCGGACTCGGCTTTGCTACCGGACCGTGTTCTCAAGGCACGAAACACCATCTTCGCACAAGAACTCTGGCATGAGCTCCATCGCGAAGCACACTCTCTCGCTTCATACGGAGTCCGCGCGGACAACAACTCCATCAACTTTCACCCCAGCTCAGGACCAAGTTTGACGCTGGAGCTTGAGACCCTCGAGGACAGCGCCGCCACCGTCGGCGCATCGCCCGACAACGTCCTTGCCGAAGCAACGCATCTAGGTCTACACATCCTCCTGAGCCATGCTCACCGCCTGAACGAGCTACAACGACTGCGGCCAACGCCCCCTCACCAACGTCGCAACCAAACACAAAACCAGTACCACCTCCTCCGACCCATCATCGCCAAAATTCTCTACGACCGCTCCATCGAGCAGGTCACCAGTTTCGCGGGCGACCTCACCCGCGTGCTACGACAAGGCGGCGTCCACGCCGCCTCTTTCACCCTCAACACCCCTCCCTTCCCGACCGCCGAGCTGAAAAACACCTCAGGCGGTGCCTCCAACCGGCCCAACGCCTCACAAGCACTCACAAACATGCTCACATCCTCAGCAGACTTCCAAATCGAGCTGACCCTGACCCCGACCTCCCGCCTCCAGATCCGTGGCCGCACATTCCTCAACCCGCTGACAACAACGCAATTCCAACTCCAACTCCTCCCCAACGCAGCAGCAGCAGCAGCAGCAGCAGCAGCAGCAGGAAACGAACAATCGAATGGCGAGCAGCCCCCCGCACCGCCGCCCAACACCCTCCAATCCTCCTACCCGCCCTCCCGCGACCCGTACCCAGACATCGCCTCCGTCCAGCTCTACATCACAAACGCAGCGGCCCACGCACTCACAGACTACGCAATGTCCCTCATCCCCCCGCCGCAGCAGCCCTCCAACCCCTCTGCACCTCCTGCGGAACCTGCCCCCGCGGAGTGGGTCAAATCCGTCCGCGGCACCGCCATCCGCGACATCGACACGGAGACGCGCGAAATCCGCTTCGACATTCTCAACAGCGGCCCCGAGAACCGGCCGATGCTGCAGATTGGCGCCGCCTGGCGTGTGGGGGATAAATCTCGCCTCATGCGCTGGTCTTGGGCTGCTGATGGCGATTCCTCATCATCATCGTTGCAACCCCCCGTCAGTGACATTGTTGCCGCTGTCGTCCAGTCCAGGGATGTCTAGGAGATTGGCCTGGACCGTCTGGTCAAGGAGGAGACGAAGGATTGGTCTTGAAAAGCGAGCGAAGTGCCCCTGTGTTTGGGGAACATCGGAAAGGCCCTTCTACCGTTGGTGTTACCAGTAGTCTCGTCATTTATCCACCCCGGGATGTAGATAGGCAGAGGATGTAAAGTGACGATAAGGCTACGTAGTTTAGCCTTACCCGCCATCATCAATTAAAAAGTCATTCACAATACATAATCTCATAGAAGCTTCTCTACTTCTGTAAGCCATGTTGCTCGACAGACCGTCATGACTGACGAGCGAATTCGTCTTGTGAGCCAACGAGACATTCAGTAGCAGCCTGGATACATCACATACTTATCAATTGCAGGGACACACGATTCCTGATAAGCAATTGTATTGGAGATCTCTATCGATCTAGCGATCCTTTCTTGATTCCGTAAAACGAATTCGGCATGACTAAGACAGCCATACCGTCCCGAGCCTGATCCTGGCCCTGTACCTTAGACGCCTCATGGAATCTGTGACGACAAAAGAAAAGAGAAAGAAGATGGGGTGACAGGAGAAGTGGCAGACACCTAATATCCCCTCTCCCCGTTTTCCACCCCAGTGACACTCCTTCCGTTGTGTTGGCTGTGAAGCCTTTCTTCTGTGTCCATGTCTTCTTTATGGGTATGCTTCTACACTCCCATCGTTTCCTGTTCCCTGTAGTGATGCGGATGCAATAAAATGCTAGTCATAAGCGATTCGTAATACCTCTCCCCCGATACCATTCATTAAAAGTGCTTGATTCAATTCCCAGAAATGACCAAATCTGGTCCGAAAAGGTCACCTCACGACCCCAATCGTTAGAAATCGTGGTGTCGTGAACCTCCATAAACAAAATCCCGAACTAGACTTCGAAATCAAGTGTAGATCGGTCGGGCCCTTCCTCAGAGGTTGAAAAGGAAACGCAGCTCAGTCAAGCTGAGGCCAGCCAACTTGGCACCCTCGCGCTCATCCAAAGCGGCATCCACAGTCGCCCTCTTCTTTTCCTGAAGCTGAACGATACGATCTTCAACCGTCTGTTGGGTCAAGATTCGGTGCACCTTTACAGGCTTTTGCTGGCCGATGCGGTGCGCTCTATCGACGGCTTGCATCTCAATGTATGGATTCCAGAAAGGATCCATGATGATAACCTGTGAAGCCGCGACAAGGTTGAGACCAGCGTTTCCGGCGCGCAACGACACCATCATGACCTTCATGCTCGGATCGTTCGAAAAAGTGAAAGCGGTGTCGTCACGCTGTGCCATCGACATCTCTCCCGTGTAGCGGCAATGCTTGATGTTGAGACCTTCCTTTCTGATAGCGACCTGCAAAAGATCCAGAAGCATCGTCCACTGGGAGAAAATAATTGTCTTCTCGCCTGTTTCCTGAATCTTCTTAAGAAGGTCCACGCAAGCCCTGGTCTTGGACGAAGCAAGCCAATGATGACTCAGGTACTTTGTGTAGTCCTGCCAGGCACCAGCATTCTTCTTGGCATTCTTTCGAAGCGTTGCCAACTGGCTGCCCTTGATCTTCTTCAGTCTCTTTTTCGACTCCTTGCTGGAGGGCTTCACAGCATTCATTTTGCCCTTCGACTTCTTCTTCTTCTTCTTCTTCTCTTTTGGCTCGGTCGCCTTGGGCTTTGGCGCTGGAGACCCCGACAGCTCGTCCTCATCATCACTAATGTTAGCGTAACCATCAGGAACGACGAAGCCTTTGAGATTGCCGTTCTTGTCGGCGTCGTCTGCATCGGCGTCATCCTGGTCCTGGTCCTCGTCCTCTTCCTCGTTATCGTCGCTACTCCAAACGGAGCCGTCAGACTCTTCATCCTCAGAGCTTCCACTAGCAGCGTCATCAGGCATGTAGACCTTCTTGAACGCTGAAAAAGTGATAACGTTCGCCGGGTCCAACGTGCCTCTGCAGACAGCGCACTTGACCTGGCCTTCGTCTTCGCCATTTCTAATGTTCTCCCGCCTAGCATTGTCAACGTGCTGCTTGAGACAGCCGGCACAGAGTTCGTGCCCACAAGGCAGTGGAATAGTCGGGTCGGGCATCATGTCGTAGCAGATTGGGCACTCAAAGCCTTCATTGATGGCGTCGGCACTCACGAGTGCGCGGGACTTCTCAGTGAGGCGCTGAACAACAGCTATAGATAAGGTTCTGACGCGATTGAGCATATCGTCATCGACTTCAGGCACTGCATCGTCTGCTTCGAGAAGCAAATGCGGGTGACAACAAGTTTGGCGGAGGCGGAGAAGTAACACCAATACGTGAGAGTAGTGCTTGCCCAGAGTGCCCTTTCGCAGGTACTTGTTGATCTGCACCTGCGACTTGGTCTCCAAATCAGTGTAGAACTTGCGCTCGTCTTCGTCCAACTCTGCGTAAACCACCTCCTCTGTTTTCTCCGGAAGTTGCAAAATGGGCTTTCCATCAATTTGCGAGCTCTTGGTCCGGCGTAAAAGAGTCGCCTTGAGGAGAACCTGCAAGTTTCTCATTGCCTGGGCTTGAGGGTCGCCTTTCTTCCCAAAGAGCACTCCAAAAGCGCCGCGGAACTTAGACCAGTCGTTGTATGGCTTGATCCTCAGGAATCTGTAGAGAGAGAAGAGCTCATCGACGCCGTTCATCATCGGGGTGCCAGATAGGCACCAACGATAATCGCTCTGCAGGTAGGAAGCCGCCATAGCCGCTTGCGCCTTATGGTTCTTGATCTGTTGACTCTCATCCAGAACAATGCGATAGAACTTTGAGTAATCTGGGTGGAATAGGGAGACAGAGCTGGCCAAATTGGGGTCGGTCTTGCTCGACATTTGACGCCCGTTCAAATCCTTGATCCAAGCCGCGTATTTCTTCCTGTCTGAGACAAGAGTACCATAGGTGGTGAGGACGACATCGTACTTCATCAACTCTTGGGCTTTGACCTTCTGAGTGCTGTGATGGACGTATACAGTCAAAGCATGGGGTGGGCCACTCTTGAGCTTCTTCTTGATCTCATCCTCCCACTGCCGAATCAGAGACAGCGGAGCCACGATCAAAGTGGTCTGTGAGGGTGAGTTAGCATCGTCTGAGAATGATAAAGAGCAATCTTACCTTGCATCCTGGCTTGGTCGACTTTTGTGACACCATGAGGGAGAGAACAGAGATTGTTTTTCCCAGGCCCATGTCATCGGCCAAAATACCTCCCTTGTTGGTACCCTTCTCTTGGCGCTTCATCCACGTCAACGCAACCCTCTGGTGCGAATAAAGGGGGTATCTCATAGCTTCAGGAGTTCCCTCTCGATCTTCCTCCGGGATATCCATGCCGGCGTGTACATTGCGTAGAAGTGCCTCCACTTCCTCTTTGGATCTGCGAGGGTCATTGTTAATGTCCTCCATCAAAGAGACAACGCGAGCATCCAGCGGGTTTCCGGAGCCGTCGGTAAGGTCCATAAAGTTCATGTTGTTGGCTCTGTTGATCACATCAGAGGTGCTGAGAGAGGATCTACTGGTAGAAAGATATCCGTTCCGGCTGGCTAGCTGACGGTTCATCATCTGGCTAGCCGGCGTGAAACCAAAGTTCATATCTTCATCGTTAATGAAAGAACCAGGCATCCGGGGTATGAAGTCTCCGCCAGGAGTTGAAGCCAAACTCGAAGAAGAGCTCGGGCTGGCATATCCCTGGTGAATACCATTGTTCGGATTTTGTAGGCCGTTGGCATATCCGATGCCATATGTCCCTGGGATAGGACGCACCACAGGAGGTCTGGCGTTGTGAGGATTCTGAGAGAATTGACGGGAAGCGCGTGCCAACGAAGCGGCTCTACGACCTCGTTCCTGTGCCTCCACTTGCCTTGAGCGCGACATGAACGAGGTGTGTACATCATCATCGTCCCTGCCAGATTCGTTAGTCCTTGGGAAATGATAGTCGTTTGACGCCCGGACCTGAGCCCAACCCAGCAGCAAAACAATCTGTACTTACCCAGTAAGGTCGATGACATCAGACACATCAGCTGTGCGCTGAGACTTGTTGCGGCCTGAGGTAGCCTGTCCCAGAGACTCATAGGCGGAGCCGAATGATCTCTTGTTGTTGAATGGATTTCCATGGCCTTCCGAGCTGCCTAGATTGAGCGGCGGCGGTTCAAAGGGGTTCCAGGAGGCCGAGCCGGCATGAGCGGAACCCATGTCGGGCATGGCGTACGTGTTATTCGACGGTCCTAGAGGGGCAACTGCGTTCTGAGACCCGGAAGACGGCCTGTAAGGCACGTTGGCTGGACGACTGTTAGTTTCAGAGATACTCACTAGGGTCTCAAAACACTACTAATGAATCAAGCAGACTGAAATATGCTTAGATCAAAAGCATGATTGGCAGTGGGTAGGTGTGAGGGATAGTCTGGAATGATTGAGACGGTGACGAAAAGGATGATGGAAAGCAGGTATTCCTAAGGCGGGAGGTTTCAATCGATAGAGAGATGAGAGGGGTGAGGGGGTGATATATGAGAAATTCGAATGATTTTCAGAGGCTGTGGAAGGCGTGGGAAATAACCTGGTGGAAGAAGAGGAAAGAGGAAGTGTCAGGCGTCAACCACCTATGGTAGGCAGGAGCAAGGCATGGCTGGGTTGCTTTGGGAAGGCACCTCAGGAGCGGCACTGAGAGTACCGCCTGCCTTATGCCATCAGCCTGTGGACAACCACCTCATAGATATGAGAACTCCTTGCCTTCGTTAAGGTAATATCCTGATAATCGGCCAATTGCCTCAAGTAGCATTGCAGAAGACAAGGCCTTTCAGTACACCAAACCCAATGCAGTCATTCCCATCGACCACCAAGATCGCTATGACCACGCAATGATGGGTAGATAGGTCAGACTCCAGGCCGTACTTCCAAAACTAGCATACTAGTCGCTTGTGTGATATGGCTAACTTCTTCACTTGAAGAATCGAAGACCGGGATCGAAACAAGTCATAAGTACAAAACTCGGGCAGTTTTGGGGGGGGGGGGGGGGGGGGGGGGGGGGCATTGCAACAACTCAGCAAAACAAAATATCCACATACCGACTCCCCAGCGGTCCCTAGCCGCTCTCATGTTTGCGTCTTCTCCGAATGTAGCGTCTCTGGTCGACTGGCGCGCAGAGTTCCTAGCTGCCCGAATCCGTTGTTCCAGTCTCTGTTTCTCGAGTGTCTTGTCGTCGATCGTCTTTGCAGCCGACTCGTATTCTCGAAAAGCGTTCTCGTAGTCTCTCGGGTTCCCGTCGGCGAGAGATTCGGCTATGGCTTGTCGAAAGTCCCGTTCGCCCTCGAGGTCCAGTAGTTCGTTGGCGAGGTTCCTGAGTGCCTCCTTGTCCCGGGCCTGGGTGGCAGCCGGGTCGTCGTCCATATTTGTTGGTTGCGCAAACGCAGTGTCAGTGTCGGTCGGTCGGTCGGGATGCTGGGCAAGACGGCGGTGGCGGGGCGAAGTTTCCCTTTCCTCGCTCAAATGAGGCGAGCTGCAGGCGACGAGGTCAAAAGGTGTGTGGCGCGGTGCTGCAACATCTGCTGGGTGCTGGAGAGGTTGATGTCGTGCTGCAGCAGGCTGTCGGAGATGGGTTGGGAGCCGAAGTGGTAGAAGTACCTTGTGCAGTCGTCTGGAAGAAATCGATCTCAGTCGGCAGAGTGAGTTGTGATGGAAATGGAAAGATTGTTGTCGGAGAGACTGAAAGAGGGACGAACAGTTCGACTCCAACGACTGGGAATAAGGGCCAAAGGTGTCGCTGCCTTCTCAACCTTTGTTGGGTTGGGTTCCTGGTCTGCTAAACGAGAGTGTTGGTCGGGTAATGTACAAGGTCTGTAATAATTATCATCCCGTCGCATGAAGGAGATGGTACCTTTAGGCAGAGGTAGACTCTCACGGTCCTGCTTGCAGTGGCTATTTGCTTATCTTATCGCAGCTTCCTCCAAAGTATTTGATGTCATGTCCGTCACCTGGGATAGCGCGACGCGTTAATTGGAGCGCGCAATGGACTTTGGGGCACTGTGGCATCTGCTGGCCAAATCTACAGTGTACTTCAAGAGGTACCTACCGCACCGACAGAGCAAGGTAGGTACGTACTGAGACCCCTTCCCCCATGTGTCTACCCTTTAGGGAAAGTACGGAGGAGTACGATGCTGGTAAGTATTCTCAAGGGTCCAAACTTTTGGCCCGCGTATGCATATTGCACTTGCCCCTTCCACCAATCCTACCATGACTGCCTCGAGAGCCCCATCCCAGCATTTTCGGTGTAGGTCTTCCATCTGTTCCATCACCCTCTTGTATCGGCCTAAGTAAAATGTCTTGATTCACCGTTTTGAACGAGGCACCCAATCAGTGTGCCCATGACTTCAACATCTATGTCTCAGGTACTTCTTGCAGTTGAGACCTGACGTCGTGAGGCTCTTCAGACCAACACACAAGGGCTGGGTAGCCTCCTTTAGAGCATGTTCCTTCTCACGTTAAGATAAGTATGCACATGATTCAAGGAGTCGCTAAGGCTCCTGAATTATGGTCAATCTCACTACTCTCTCAAGTCCTTCGACTTTTGAGCTCACTCAAACATGTCTCGGTGACCCGGATACTTGCAGTCAGCTCCAGGCTGCAACCGACTCTGCTCATTCCATTTTTTCCTCGTCTCACCGGGCTCGCATGAGGCACAGGCGGTTGGTTTGCTCTCCGATGTTCTATCACACCGTCGCGTTCTGTCCATTAATTTCCTCGTCACCTTAGGTTGCTTGCCATTCATGAGCCTCATGCCATTAGCCTGCATGCCTACCCTAGATGCCTTGTACTTTGGAGGCTGAGGCACATGCCTAGCCCGATTACTGCCTTGCAACTTTGCCCAGCCAGGCTTTCGGCATGCTCGCTTCCTAGACACCCTCCTCAGTTAGTAAGCCTCGGCCTTACCCTCTGGTAGATGATTGGAATTCAATCGACACAGCCTGACCACACTCGCCTCAATGAAAGAGCTCTTTACCGCCGCTCCTCGGCCAAGTTACCCGAAGGCGGTTGTGTTATTCAATGTGATCTGCCACCGACGTGTGGAGTATTGTTATTGAGCTGTGGCTTGAATTGTTCTTGCTACATCACCACACCTAGATGTCTTAACTACCTGTCGCTTCGTACCTCGATTCTCAAGCTCAATGGGTGGTAGGAGAAGATGCCTACTCAAATTACTCATTCATGAGCGTCTCATGCCTCGCTCGCTATTTGATACAAGGGCATTCTTATGTCATTTCCGACAGCCAGGATGGAGACTGCTGTTTGCTACAAACACTTAGCAACTTGCTCTCACTGTGACACCTGTCAGAAGTAGAAACACACTCACTTTGGCCTAAATTTGCATGAATATAGAACAGTCAATTAATGATTAAAAACGCGAAGCCGGCCCAGAAAAGTCTTAAGCGTTGGTCTATCCGTTCCCCCACAAAAAAACACCATTCCGCCCATTTGTATCCTCCCATTCACACACAAACAGCTGCAATCCCGTTCTACTGAATCAGGTCGTCTCACTCCGGTCCTTTTCGTTTCATTCCGGACCGCCACACACCAGTCTTCTTGGGGAACTTGGCCCCTCACCACTTGCCCCTGCTGGCAACAACACCAGCCAGGCCCCAAACAGACGTCTCTCCGAGGATCTCAAAGACGGAGACATCGACTCCCCCGGCGTTGCGGAATATCTAGTTCCGAACACCTACAGCAACAAGGGAGTCGACGCCGTACGCGCTGGGCGCCCGCTCCGGATCAATCTCCTCCGGGAGGAGGGACATGGCCTTGGCCATCAACTGCACCAGGCCGGTGCAGATGATGACCGCGGCCTCCTCCACCCCGGAGCACACGGCGAGCATCTTCTTGACGTCGGCCTCGCCTGGACCGTCACAGCCCCCCTCCGGAGAGGAGATCGGCACGTCGACGATATTCATGTACGAATAGAGCGCCGTGCGCGACCAAAAGGGGTCGCCGGGGTTGTTTTGGCGGATGAGGCCACCGGTTCCGACGCCCGAGACGATTTGGGGGTTCGTCTGAACGCCGGGGGTGACCTCCCCCGTGATGGCCCGCTCGACCATCGTCAGGAAGTCCTGGTGCCGGATTCCGTAGAACCCAGCACCGCGGAGCTTCCCCAGGGTCTCCTCGTCCTCCACCAGCATCCCGGCCTGGAGGACAGGACCGAGAGCCAGGGAGACGGCGCGAGGAAGGGCCTGGGCGAGTGCGTCTTGGACGGCGTTGGCCGCCGCGTAGTTGGCTTGGCCCCGGTTGCCGATTATTCCCGAGGCACTCGAGAGGAAGAGGAACCAAGGGGTGGCGGAGCTGACCGGGTCGGGGTCGGGCTCTTGACCGAAGACTTCCGTGAGGTTGACGGCGCCAATTGCCTTGGGGGCGAAGGCGGCTAGCCAGTCGGCAAAGCTCATCTTCTCGAAGAGAGCGTCCTGCTGTCTGTCAGTGTATGTTCGGGTATAGGACAAGGGGAGTGAGGATACTAACCTGGATGACTGCAGCGCACTGAACAACGCCAGAGATCTTGCCTAGAGTCGGAGCCAGTGCCTTGAGTGCTTGAAGATCTGTGATATCCACTGCGACTGCCGTGGCTTGGACACCTTCTTTGCCGAGATGATTAAGGAAGTCTTGAGCATCTTGATTGCCGCCAGATCTTGACAAGAATACCAGCTTCTTTGCACCGTTGTCTGTAAGCAGCTTTGCGATGCTCCTTCCCAAGCCTCCTAGACCGCCAGCAAGTACATAGGTGCCTTTGGGGTCGATGACATCAGAAAGCGGCTTGGTTCGCATCTCAGTGGCTACAGGAACGAGTGTATCGCGGTCAGCTGTCATGGTGACAAGGCCGTGATAGGGCGCTCTCTCAATCTGCTTGAAGGCTCCTTCGAAGTTGGACATGGCGAATCGGTGGACTGGCTGGCACTGTAAACTCGAACTCTTGCGCAAGTAGTCAAAGGCAAATTGGTCTACCATGGTAAATAGTTCCATGACGAGTTCAGGGTCATCCTCCATGATGGTGGCGACGTTGAAACGTACGAACAGCATGGAAGAAACGACTGGAGATCTAACAGCTCTACCAGTTTTGTCGGAGAGCTGAAAAACGCAGCCGTCTAAATAATGTTAGCTCCGCACCAGTTGGAAAGACATGCTGACTTACTTGGCTTGACACATTTGAAACTGACGGCAGTATGCTC